TACATAGGATTAAACATTCTCTCTCGACATTTCATCTTCGAAATTCGAAAATCAGTTTAATCAATTCTTTTTTCGAAATTTTTCAAAAATTTCAGAATTAATTAAATTCTTTTTCGACATTTCTTTTTCATAATTCGAAAACATTCCTTATTCTTTTTCGGAATTTTTGTAATTTGGAAAACATTTTAGAATTAATCAAACTCTTTCCCTTTCGTAACTCGAAATGCGTTAGAATTTTTTTTTTTCCTTTTCTTTTTCAACATTTCCTTGAAATTCGAAACTACTTTCAATTCATTCGTTTTTCTCTTTGAAATTTTTGAAAATATTTTAGAATTCATTTAATTCTTTTTCAACATTTCTTTTTCAAAAGCATTTGTACTCAATTTTTATTTTTAATCTTTTCAAAAATTTTGAAAATACGTTAGAATTAATTAAATTCTTTTTCGATATTTCTTTTGAAAATTCAAAAATAATTCTAATTAATTCTTTTCCTAGTATCTTAATTCACAATTTCTTTTTGCAATTTTTGTTCGAAACTCTTTTTACAATTCGGAAGTACTTTTCTTTTAAAAATGTTATTCTAAACCCCTCAATTAATTTCGACTAAATTCAATTAATTCACGACTGAATTAATCTCTTCATTCGAAATTAATTATCCTTTTTCTGAAATGTCGACATTTTCCTTTGAAAAATTCTTGCCAAATATTTTATAAATTTCATCTTCCTAATTCTTTTCAGAATTGTTATTATTATTATTATTATTATTTTTATTTTTTTTTCCCCGTAATTCAAAAATATTTTCTTTCGAAATTTCATGTTTTCTTTTAAATAAATTTAAATCTAAATCAGAATTTATTTTTTTCAAAATTAATTCTCTTTCTGTTCAGCGTTTATTTTATTTTATTTTTTAAAACTTGGCGATTATCTTTATTTTTGAATTTATTGATAAATAAATAAGGGATTCCCCCCCACCCTCCACATGCCACCACGCCAAACCAAGAACTCCCAACGTGCTGCCGCCGCCGCCACCGTTGCTGCTGCATCTTCCACCCCCGTTCAGGCCACGTCCTCCACCCCCTCTTCCCCCAACATGGCCGCATCCTCCATCAACATGTCTGACATCCGCACCGACTCAGTCGATAGCATCGCCCGCAACCTCGCCGGCGAACAGCCACCAGCAAACACCGCCACCCCCGACCTCTCTGCCATCCTCCACGCACTCAAC